TTTTTCAATTTTTCAAGCTCTTTTTCTCTCTCTCTCTCTCTCTCTCTCTCTCTCTCTCTCTCTCTCTCTCTCTCTCTCTCTCTCTCTCTCTCTCTCTCTCTCTCTCTCTCTCTCTCTCTCTCTCTCTCTCTCTCTCTCTCTCTCTCAGCTCTAGCCTCTACGGCTTGAGAGGCTTTAGCAGCACACCACTCCACGGCCATATCGCATACGCTCGGCTTACGGGGGAAAAGGACCCTGAGTTGCACAGGGGTTGTGCGCCAGGCCCTCCTGCTCGGGCTCTTCCTCTACAAAACTAAAGCCGTAGCTACAAACAATAAGCGTTCTCCACAACAGTCGCTGCAGCGCAAACGCTTCTACTCGCGCGCCGACCTCTGCGAGCGCCGCGTGGCCACCCATACTTTCCAACCCCTTACGCACTCTTCACACAGGGGCTCTCACAGGTTCACGCGGCCGACTACAGTGTGCACCGCGGAGGAGTGCATACTTTCGGGGATTCCGCGGCATCACGAAACAACCTTGGTGAGATAGTGGCTGCCAGTTCGAGACTGGGGCCGATCGAACTTGACTTGTTCGGAGGAGGAATCCGGCCAGCACGGGTACAAAGAGGGGTACCCGGAGAATCTCGTGCAGAGGACCGCAGACTCGAGTCAGATATCAAAGCCTTCATCGACGCGCTGTGTGCCCCCCCGGGGCGGATCTCTCACGAAACACGACAAGGCCAAGCTTGACGAGCACTGGGCCACCTTCTATGCGGACGAAGATGTGCAGGTTCTCCGGCCGTCTGGCAATGCCATGAGCAAGATCACCTGGGCAGGCATGCTGAAGTCGGATGGCGGTTCGGACGACAGTGTCCCCGAGTTGGGGCAGCTCGTCTCGATTGATTCCTTCCGCATCTTTGCCGGCGGCATTGGAGCGGTAGCGACTTACACTAAGAGAGCCGCGAACGACAACCTCGCCGTCTACAGCGCGACGCTCGAGATAAGAAGGACGGGGCCTGGAAGGTTGTCTTCGGCACGGCGACGGGCCAGCCGCCAACGGACCAGGCGTAGGTGTATGCCGGGCTCCTGCGCATCGTGCCGCGGGGAGGCGCGACGAGAGCGTGCGGGCGAGAGGCCGAGAGCAAACGAGCCCGAGACACCTCTTCGCTCTTGTGGCACTCTATCCACTATCGCGATAGCACATTAGCACTGTGGGAGCAAGGCGAGTGTTGTTGATAAAGCCGTAGAAGAGAGACGCGTGCAAAAACATCCGCAGCGCACGCAGCCCTCGGCGCGGCCCGGGGTGGCCGGTCCTCCAGTGTCACTGTCACTCTGTCAGTGTCACAAGGAGTCAAACTGTATAACAGTGTGACACCTGACACTCACGGCCGGCGCTGGCCCGGAGACAAGGGCCGCCGCCGAACCCGATGAGGACTCACATGATTGCGCGCTCCAGCGCCGCCATCCGCTCGCGCATCGCGGCCAGCTCGGGCGTCAGTTGGCGGCGCGTCGGGCCCGCCTTGCCGCCGGCGGGCGCCCTGGCGGACGCCGCGCGCTGCTGCGGCGGCGGCGGCTCTG